TAAACCAGGACTGCTTTGTCCAGACTCACGACACTCAATCGAACTGCCATTCCTTATTCAACGCCGTCTGACACCTATAGCTTCGGCTTCATATTAAGGAGGTCCCGGCCTCCGACCTCGGACCACCATCCCTCGGACTAAATTCCGGGGCAGTACCTTTCCGTAGTTCCTATTGTGACGATCCTCCTCAACTCCATCCGCCTTGTATTTCTATCAAACAGAACTGGGAGTGGGGTCCTCCACTTCTACAGCTTTTCATCTAAAATTCTTCAACAGTCCGGTGAGTTGATAAAACATACTACAATAAGTAGCCGCTAGAAGTTCGAAGATTTCTGACGATGGTGAGAGACACTTTGTGACATTCTTTTATTGGACTTAGCCATCGTCTACGTGTTATTAAAACCACAACGATCTTGAAGTTGGTTTTACTTCCATTTTCAGGTGGGAAGAGGACAAAAGCCCGTCTATTGGTCCTCCTGGCCGGGGTTTGATGCTATCTCAATCGGGAACCGGAACAGATTAAACGTCAGTCCTACTTTGACCTGAGCACGGGAGCAGAACCAACCCTGGAAACGCTGTCGTTTTAATGACAACCTAGACGACGGATAAAGTAAAAAAATAACAAAAAAACAAACAATTTAACACTCCTAGTCACTCATGTTTTGGGAGTTTACTTAAAAGTTAAGTACTACCGGAGTGTCGAAGACGAGGTATGATGTAACATCCAGCCAGAACTTCGATATAACCCAAAGATATCAGTGCAGTAATGAAACAAGGAGAAATGTGTCTTCATTGAATGAGCTCATCTGAATTACTGGATCATGTACTGAAGTTTGTCGTTGAAAGTTCCAGAAGCCTTTCGGTCTTCCTTCGAGGACAGACAGGCTCAGTGATAATGTACCTGACTGTAACCTGGACTTCGATGGAGATGTCCGTAGCTTTTCTCAATAAATTCAGTGCGGATAGTACACGCCAAGACCGCCTCCTTGCTAATCCTTACTGTGATGATCGCGGAAACCGAGAATGATCTGGAGAGATGTCAGTTTCTTTAATCACATTTCTTCGCTGACTGGTTCGTAGTTTAACGACACTGAAGTAATCACGCAGTTCAGAATTAGACTTGATGGATTTCAAGGAGGGAACTGGGATGTTTTCTTTGCCTATTTCGAGGTAATTTTACCCTGTGTGCGCCTGAAAGTACACACAAGATATTTATAAAGATAAAAGCAGAAAAGGTGTTTCACAGTACGAAGTTGGAATCGGGTGTCTGAGAAACAGGAAAGAGACAAAGTTGTACCTGTACTTAAGCGCCGTAGCAGAAAGGAGTATTATGATTTATGCACCAAAATGTGAACTACGTGTCTTCTGATTGCATGACTGTTAACTTCAATGAAAAGTGGCACATGACTCACTGTTGCAGGGAACACAGAAATTTCGCTGAGCGTTAGACCTCTCATCACGGGTAAAACAAACAACGGGGCGGAGCTTCAGACAACCATGGCAAGTTGCGAGGCGCTCCATTCAACAATACCAATCATAAGAGACAACGGAACATCTAAAATGTGACGTAACGGGTGGAGAATCGTGAAAATATTTCGATATAATGATTGTAATCAGCGTGAAACATTGTTCTGAAGTGTATCCCACAAAACGCGAGACATGACCCCCCAGCGAGATTGAAACTGGTGTCTCTAGGTGTCGTGCAATCGATATTGTAATCGACCAACTACCTCACTGGGGGGGGGGAACAAATCTTCTCTTGTTGTCTTCACCTTCCTTTTCTCCCACTGCTCCTTATATTCATATTCTGGTCCTCCTGCTTAGCATTCCGGTGACCTCGGTTCGAATCACGGTCCAATAATCGGCTCAGTTGATTAAGGTTTCCGTGGTTTTAGTCGGTTACTCCAGGAAAATGTTAAAGTATATCACACTGCTGTTCTCT